AAATCAATTTATCACCGTATATTTTAACATGTAATTTACTCTCTCTTTAATCTTTTTTTTTTTGCTTTTCTTGATGTTTTATTTATTTTAAATTTTGATATTGTTTTTTTTTAATATGATTTTTTTAGAATTAAGAATTCTATATTTTGAAAATTTGATTTCATTTTTTATTTTAATTAATCTAAAACTTGATTTCTTGAGGAAAAAAAAAATTGTTTCACTTAAATTTTGAACTTGTTTTTGGTGTGTTTTTCTATATCTAAAATACTGTTTTGTTGATGAAATAAGTATATTTAATTCTGAAATTTGTTGATATATATAGATAATATGAGATCATAAAATCTTTAATAAGGATTTCTTAAGTTTTAGCTTAAATATGATAAAAAAAATCACACTTGAATACGGAATATAAATTGAAGAGAGAGGAAAATATAGAACTTGTATTAATTATTGCAGTTTAGACTTTTAATTACATGTTTTGATTTTTGGGTGATGTATATTTCTTTTGCTACAATTTCTGACAACAATATATAATATGCATTGTTTTACAACCAGATTTATTCTTCCCGGATTTATACCCGTTGAATACTAATTTATACATTTTTATTTTTTGTCTTTGTTCTAAAATTTCAAGTTGGATACCAAGTGTATATAAATTGGATAAAACATTAACTTGTTTTAGATTGTCTAATTTGCTTGAAATATCAGTTACATCCAAGTTTATATAAATTGGATAAAACATTAACTTGTTTTAGATTGTCTAATTTGCTTGAAATATCAGTTACATTTTGTTTTTTTCATTTTCAAGTGGGATATCTGTTGGATACCAATTGAATACAACATTATTGATTTTTCAAATTTCCAATGGGATATTAATTTGATACTAAATTTATACAAATTGGATACAATATTAACTAGTTTTACGTTGGCTATTTTAGTTGAAATCTCAATTACATGTTGTTGTTTTTTTATTTTACCACTGGGACGCTGGTTGGATACCAAATGTATACCAATTTCATACTAAGATTTGACTTAATTTTTCCAGTCAATATCAATCGAATACAAACATTACCTATTTTTTGAGTATACATTTGAAAAACACTGAATACACAAATGATTAACTAGCACACATAATAAATATTTTGAAATTATAATTCAATAACTTAAAAGACAAAATAAATCAAAACATGAGTTTTGCCACAATAAAACAACCAAATCAAAATAAAAATAAATTATGTCTTTTTTTTAGAAAGGTAATTTGAACATGTCTTCCTATTGTGTTCCTCCCGAGGACATGTACTGCACGTAATCTTAGACCTCTTGAATTTCACATCAGCAAACCATTTACAAGTTGTGGTCTCCCTACAGTTCTTTTTGAACCAGGCGACAATAATTCCTGCTCCGACACTTTTTTGAATTGCATATTTTTCTGTTTCATCATAAATTATTGTGTCAATATTATATCATACAAAAGTACAAATAACTTTTATACATATGTTATATCAATATACAAATTTCATACCTTTTTTATGCTTACAAAATTCATACAAAAGTAAAATACATATGCTATTTTAAAACAATTTCATATGTTATTACAGAATACAAAAGTAAAAACACATATGTTATATCAGTATACAAATTTTATACAATTCATATTCACACATTTCTTACCTATTCCATGCCAAAAGTTATCAATTATTCATATCAGGATCATGCCACTAGATTACCAAAATAATTCCAACTTAGAAATATTAATTGTCATTTCTTTAATAAACAGTATACCAAATTCATTACATTATTATTCTCAAAATTCATTACAATATAATGCCAAAAAAAAAAATTCAATCAAACCAAAAATCGTAACCAAAACATTATCAATTGTCATACATGCTTGGTAGTATAAGTATACAAATTCCAAAGAAAAAATTATCTATTTTTTTAATCAAAAATATACCCAAAAAAAATGCGTTAGACAAATAATGAACAAATTCAATGTTCATACCAAAATATAACATTATACATTTTTAAAAAAACGCCATAATTCAAATTATTATACACAATAAAAAATCTAAAAACAGTAGACAAATTTCATTTAATTATTATGCACATTTTTCATATCTATTTCATGCCAAAATTATACCTATTTCATATCATAAGTCGTCACTTTTTCACTGCAGAATCATGTCACTATAATACCAAAACAATACCACTTTTAACTATTAATTGTCATTTATTAGACAAATAGTATACGAAATTCATTCAAATATAATTCTAAAATCGTACCAACATGGTATAACCAATATACCAAATTCAAATAAATTTTATGTAATTTTTTAACCAGAAACATACAAAAAAATGAAGAATTTTTTTTTATTGATAAAATCAGAATTTTTAATTAAATTTAACAAATTAGAGTGAATTAAGGAACTGAATATTCTTAATTAGTTTGAATTTCCTTAATTTATGCTAATTAGTAATTATCTTCAATCAATTCAAATTTAATTAACACACTTATTTCCCGTTTTTTTACCTTTTTTTTTCAAAAACGAATTATTTTATTTTTTTCAAAATAAATTTTTACAATTATTTAAAAAAAGCTTTTTTTTTTAAGAAACTGTTACAACCAGAAATTTTTTATTGCTACAACTTGAAAGTTTAATTCTACTGCTATAACTTGAAAATATTAGTCTAATATATGTCATATATGAAATTTTCACAATTGTTAATTCAAATTAAATGCTATAAACATAGTTTGATTTAATTGTACCCCATAGAAAACTATTGCTATTTCGCCTCTCTCCTGGTGAATCTCGCTGGCAGTCTCCCTCGCCTCTCTCGCTTTTATACAAACACAAACGCATTTTGTGTTTGTATAAAGCCAGAGAAAATTGTATATATACATATATTATCATTCCCCTCTCTCCCATCTTCCAGATCTTGCTCGCCACTCTCCCAGATCTCACTCGCCTCTCTCACTTTTATACAAACACAAATGTATACATTGCATTTGTGTTTTGTATTAAAAGCGAGTCCTATACACTTATGATTATACAAATACGATCTTTCCCTGCCCAATTTTCTTTTGTCTTTCTCTCTTTCTCGCTTTATACAAACACAGATTATACAATTGATCTTTTGTATATGTATACCGAAATAGAAACAGATTATACAACTGCTTTCTTTTGTGTATGTATAGCGAAATATACATATTTATGTTTGTTATGGAGCGCAATTATGCAAACTATAGCTATAGCATACAAATATGATTTTTATGTTTGCTATATGTGAAAGTTGCTCAAAAAAAATCATTTTGGAACAAGAAAGTATGTCATGTAAATTGATATAAAATAAATATTTATTAATTACTAAATTTAATTGAAATTTTAATTTTAGATATTTGTTTGTATTAAATATAAAATAATGTTTTCAAATAAGTTCCTACCAAAAAAAAAATAGAAGAAAAGATTATGTGCAATTACACATATATCATTGTACTTTTTCTTCCCTCCTAAGTAGGTTATCGGGAGGTTTGGCCTGATTATTTTTTTTAAAATAACAGCTTATTTTCTTCCATAATTTTATAGGTGAATCAGAAGAGCGAACTAGGCACTTTTGATTTGGATATTCACACATTCTTTAGCAAAAACACAACAAATTTAACACATAAAAATTTAAGTAGCAGCAAAATTAAAGATAAAAATAACTTTAGATTTTTAAGTAGAAATCGATAAATTAATTTATTCTTTTTAATGTGTGATATATGTTAAATAAAAATCTCAACTCATCAATTATAAATCTATTATTTCAGTCTATACATTTTACCGTGTATTTTATAATTACTAGCAATCCAAACTGAAGATAAAAAATTACTCGATTGTATTTGGTGGAAAACAAATTATTGACACCGTTCATTAAAGATGATAAAGTCGTTAAATTGAGCAAAATAGATGTGAACCTACTCGCTAAAAATTTTTGTTAGTTGCTTCTTTATAATCTGTATACTCTTCGTAAACAGTGGCTTCGTCTCTGCACCCTGGCTCTCATCTCCTTTACATGACAGTAGGTGATAAAGCCAGAACTTTCATTAAGGAGATTCAATATATAGAAATGAACATACACGAAAGTAACATATTTATTATATATATTGTACATTTATTTTCGACCCATTTACACATTGTAGCTCTGCCTCTGCCTGCAGCATGATACAAGTCAAAACCAGCAAAAGATTCATCCATTGAAACTTGAGTTTTCCAGAAACATTTGCAAAACTAATCATTCAAAAAGCTAAACCATAAACACTGTTGGCTCAATCTGTTGATCCCACCCCAAAAGCTATCAATCTGCAGAACAACAATGTGGCTAAATTATAGCAATGTGAATAGAAGTTTCTCTCAGCTCAAATTAGTCCTAAACAAACCAATAAAAACTAAAGTATAATAAACAGGTCTCGACAAACACAAACAAAACCAAGGTATTCAAGACTACTTTTTCATTTGTAGCACTCCGGAAAAGATAAAATTTTGAAATATTAGTCAAATAGTGTTATAAACAACAAACAAAAAAGGTTTTTTCATCCTCGAGTTAAAGAGCAGTAAAGAAATTTTCCGAGTAAAGCCATGTCAAACAATGCAGGACTAAGACAAAGTGTGTGTTAATTACCAGAATGTGCTCTTTGTAGGTAGGTGTAAGTAACTGCAACTGTACCTTGAACAACTATCAATGAAATAAGCAATACGAAAAGAGAGCAAGAGAGAAGAATTCATCCCAGTAGGCCACATTCTGAAAGCACACCATTTGTAGGATCACAGTTCTTGCCATGCCAATGGCGATCTCCGATCATAGCCAAATCTTCATGAATGATATTCAGTAACTCTACTGTACACCTTCAAACAGAAATCAGGCATCAGCTTCAAGAAGTTGGTTAGCTATTTTGTTGAGGCAAATTTCAGCTTCTTGATGCACATCACAACTGAAGCAATTGCTTTTAGCTCACTCATATAAATATAAGGGTGAATAAATCGCGCCTATTCAAATTACACTATCCAATCCTAAATTGACGTCTAACAGAAGTTACTTTTAAATTTAGATTTACAGAATTAGGCTGGAAAAAATGGTTAGGAGTACTAGTTGAATATTCTGTCCAGACATTAACCCATCGAAATTAGCTGCTGAGTTTATTTGTTGGACTAAGCAAAGGACGTAATTTAGCAGGACACTTCTTAATCATTGGCAAACTAAAATTTTATCATTTCACTAGCTAAAGTGGGCGTACGCATTTTGACAACTGTTCGAATATTTAAATAACAAATTATTTGACACTCGATTTTAGAAGGAAAATAAAATATCGGTGAGCTTTCTTTTAGTTGTAATTATAAATCTATTCGGACTTTAAAAAAAAAAAAATACAAGTCGTCTGACTATGCATTTTCTTCTTTTATTCTCAAGTATTTCTTTCACGGTGAGCTTCTAATGGACTAAGCAAGCTGCGTAAACTTTCAACCCAGTGCATATTGAATAGGCTCTGTAAATTTCAAAAAAACGCTCATGAGCACTTAAGGAAAAAAATAAACAAATGGGAAAAGCAATGTTTTTCAGATGGATTTTTTCAATATAGTTAACCACTTTTTTAACCGTAAGAGGGAGATCATTCAGATTGTGTCAGCTCCGGAATGGGGGAGGTGAACTCCTGAGGAGCTGGAGTCAACTAATTTTTCGCCTTCGTAGTAATAGACCAACAACAAAAGGATGATACACACACTGAAGGAACATGGGGAGACTCTATACGTACAATAGTAAGTGATTTCATAGCCTCCAAATAAAAAACACCACCAGCAGTCCAGCACCAACCCCCGCCTCCCAAAATAGTTTCTTGGGCGCACACACTTTATTTGGAGTAGGTAACCGAAAGTCCAAAACCGTCAACAAATGGAACCATGGGAAGGCACACACACTTTCTACCAGGGATTGTTCCCATCAACTTTAAAAGTCTCCAGACCTAAATGACAGCAATCAGACAATCAAAATTGACACAAAAAGCCTTCCAGTTCTTTCATCAACAGAACAGAAGTTGATGGGTCACCACATAATACCCTCGAATGTCTACTTGATCATAACTTGTAGCGAATTTAAAAAGGAATTCAAACGATTCATGGCATGATCAGACAAGCAACTTTTCAAACTGCTAACGAGCAGGTCGACTTAATATTACAGGTACGTTATTAACATTCTATGCGCAAGATTCGAGGTAAAATCATCTCTCGCCCATCCAGATATAAAATTTAACAACACATGGGGTCCAGTAAAGTTGAGGTTGAAACGAAAGCTAAACGCATTCTTAGCAACTATCACTTCCTCCCCCGAATAAAATAAAACCCAGCAGTTTCAAGGTGGTCCTAACGAAAGCGCCCGATCAGAGAAACACATCGCACACGAAACTGCAAAGCCGGCATAACGTCGCTAAGTATTATATATCTCCGAACTTGGGCAAGTCCTACACAGAAGTATAGTTCCACAATTTAGTTTGAGTTATGAACTTTGTACCATATGTTATGGCCATCAACTAAGTTGCAAGGACTCTTCACTTTCGATGCCGCACCCGTGTCAGATTCTCCAAAAATACACTACTTTTGGAGAATCCAACACGCACCAGTTGACATTTTTGAAGGGTCCGAGCAACATAGGCCATCGATAATAAAGGGTCAAGCGCATCGAAGTCTAGCATGTCACCTGTAAATACGCATAGTTTCAACGTTTTCCACGATGCCCTCCACCTGACCTAGCACCAGGATTGCGAGAAAATTGCAGCTTTAAGCTGACTGAATCACGCTCATGCTCATCGAATTTATAACCTGCAAGATTTAGTTTTACTACACCATCGCAACAAATTTCTCTTTCAGGGACGACTCAAATGTACACAAGCAACATGTGATATTGTATACATTTTCCGAAAATTGGATCTTGGGTTTGCTTTCAAGCAGAAAAGGTTCAGCATGCAACCAACAAACGAAATGACGAGGTATTCCCCATGCTGTGGCAGAGTCAAAGGTACATGCTGAGCTGCGCAAGAGAACAGCTTCCAGATGTCCAACTTCTATCAAAAGTTTAATCCCCTCAAAATTGCCAGAAGACCAAAATTTTAACATGCAATTCACACCACTAAATAAGATGAAAGGGCTGCAGAAGAAGTGAGGAATTAACCACTAGACTTGTGCACAGGAGGAAGGAGGAAGCCTAGTTTCAAAGATTGAGCTTTGGAGACAGACTGCCAAGACAAACTAATCTTGTTCAATGTGTTAAGCACTAGGCATTTGTCCAGAAACAGCTCCACATAGTAACTAAGAGTTTGGTAATTTACAGAGCTCCTATTTCCCCAGCACAGCTTCATCTTACAAAATTTAGAATATTCACAGAACACCGATTTTGTTTAGTGCTATTCTGATGATAAATTGAGGATTCTCCACAACCAGCACTGAATAATGAGGTACCCATGTCATCAGCTCTAAAGAACACGTGGAGAAGTTTTTTATCAATAGCTCCGACAACAAAAAGGAACTGGTCGAACCACAATTTGCACTAGTGAGGAGATAAACTACGTTCAAAAGAGATCTAGATAAAATGCTGAAAAAATGGCCCAAGAATCTCCATAAATTCAGGAGGTGGATGTCACTTCACACGTACACATTCCTCAAAATATATTAGAGAAAAAGTTGTAGAGGAGACAAGTTAGTATGGCACTCAAAAGGCTGGAAAGAACAAGGTGAAAATGTAACCAAATGCGAAGAACCAGCATCGTCAGGATAACTACAAAGAGAATGTCCCGGGTAACCAAACTCAGGAAAAGAAAGATACCAATCTACTTAGACTTACCAATAAAATATTGTTCCCGTTTGTCCATACAAAATTCACTTTTTTCAAAAGAAAAATTCAAAACAACAGTTGGTTATACATTTGGAACAATTTTTTCAAAAAGAATTTGAAGATGAGTTTAAAATTCGAAAAGTGGTTGACCAGTTTTTCAAGAGAAATTTTTTTCCCACTCACAAATTTCAACTTTTTTCAAATCAAATGCATGTCCAAACACAACTCAATTTTCAAATACCCTTTTTCAAATATCACATTTTTTATGTCCGGTTGCCTACTTAGAGTTATACTTTCACGAATCGTAAATAAAGGGTGCCAGTGTAGGAGTGAGTAATCTATTCTAGAGGTTTTTGCAAGTAAGCAAAATTTTGGGCACAATTTGACAGGATTGCATATGTATTATTATCACATTTTCTATGCCCAAATGCCCAGAAAGAGTTATAATCCTAATTTTGCAACTTAGAAGCAAAAATATTTCTTCTTACTCTCGTTTAAACTTTGAAGACCTCAATCTTATATCCCTCTGTCCCAACTTATATGACGCACTTCCCTTTTTCTGTGGCAAAACGAATGTCACATTTTTACATTTACAAAAAATTAAAATTCCAATTTTACCATTAATCAGAACTTTGTGTCCGGTCAAACAGTACCGCTTAAATCGAGATCGGGGGAGTACTTGTGTCTGCAGGTTACCAAAAGGGGCAAGAATATGAAGGCTAACTGTATTACTAGCAGTCACGAGATAAGACTACAGAAGGGTTTGTCAAGCTCACCTTGTAAGGCATCCATTGCAGTAGCTGCATGAAGGGGACTTACGAAATCAACAAAGCAAAGAATCAAAGGATCGCCTCCAGCCTGCATAAGTTGATAGAGCAGTGAACCCAAAATAACAGTATACAGAACTAGACCTGAACTAGACCTCGATAAGATGTGAAAGGTATTCTTACATGTCTTGATCCTTTTGGTACCAGCCTAACTTCTTTGTAACCTAAAAAAGGGCGGAATAAATCTGCAAAAACTCAAGTCAAGGGAAAAACTAGATTGGGCCATACGACAATAAGAACAGAAAATCTTGCCACACAAGGATACGTGACACTTCTCTTCTTGTACAATCCGCAGGCAAACCCTCTACAAACAACGTACTGCTAGCATCCGGAGGAAGGGTAGCTTCTGGTCTGCCACCTACCATTCCAACATTCCTGCTTTTAAAAGCTAGTTGGTCGGATCCCCCGATGCCCATAACACGTGGATCGTCAATAGGATGGCCACTAATTCCACTATGCATGGATCTTGAAGACTCACTGGCAACATGGGAGGAAATTTGCTGGAAATTTTACGACTATATTAGACCTATACAGTATCAAGAAACCAACCTCAAAAGAAAATAAAAATTAAGTACCCCACTACGGAGGTAGCGCTCATAGGATGCTTCGATAGGATCTGCGTCTCTCCCGACTCGAGGCATTCCCCTTTCAGCATCACGGCCATAATAGCCAGGATATTCAGGACCACTTGGAGCATCTAAAAGTGGAAAACACCAAAAGAAATTAATTACAGAAAGAGAGAAGGAAGCACTAAATTGTGGGTCAGGCTGCCAGCAACTTATATTTTTTCCTGGTAATATATGAGCACAAACAAACAAGAAAAGACTAGTAAAATTAAGCTAATTAAAGTACAACAAATATCAGCATGAACGTGAGATAACCAAACAGGAACCAAACCTGAAAGTTGAAACAGTTTTTACCCTGATTTCCCTAATCAACTTTTTAAAGGTTTGGTTAAAGCAACTTGTAGTCATGCAGAGTTGCAACTTAAAATCTTTAGTACCAGTGGGCTGTGGACTAGCACAATCTTAGCCAATAATATCATTGCACTTCCATACTTTTTATTGATATACTGATACATACAACTAGTCAACTACTACACATCAATCCTAAGCTAGTTAGAGTCAGTTATATGCATCATTATTGTTCATTAGGGGTGGGTAATTGATCGATTCAGTTCTGTTTTAAAACTTCGGTTAGGTGTTGTTAGTTACTCAGTCCATTTCAATTTGATCGTCTGGTGGCTAAAGAAAACTTTTGAATCTTCTTGTGTTAAGTTAAAGATATGTTGAATGTACTATAATGTTCTTTAATATTGTGGTCTTAAATATGCCACATGGAAAGTTGAAATTAAAGAGTATGCCAGAAAAAAGGAAAGAAACTTTATTCTTGAAACGAACTAAAAAGGAAAGTAGGACAAGCAAAATTGAACAGGAAGGAGTATTAGTTTTTGAATACATGAACTGATCAGTGATCATCGAACAGAAGATTACTCAGTTCGGTTTTTATCATTTCAGGCCACTGCTGTTACACCCATTTTTAGCTCATGTAGAATGTTCACTATTTTTCTTGAACCCTTCTTTCCCCTTAGAAACTTTTAATGATTTTGAATTAAGGACTAATTTCAACTTGCCTATATGGTTAGATCCATATATAATAATAGAAATTGCAATCTCCAGAATATGATTGATTTCTGAATACCACCGTGCATGACTGCTATCTTCTATCTTGGCATATTGAATATGCTTACTCTACTATAAAACCTCTGCAACATATAGTCTTGGATTATATTTGGGTCTTGTGCAAAATGGACTTGTGCTTGGGAAACACTTCATCTTTCCACCCTAAACTGAGCATAAATCATCAAATAGCTTATACACCCTCAAAGCAGATTCATTACTAGAAGTAAATTTGTTTAAGGAACAGCTCGTCTTCTGGTAATTAATTTTCTGAAACCTTTCCAACTTCCTATTCATCAAAATATCTGATGTGTTATAGTTGAAGGGAAATCTAGTGCTGCCAATAGGTTAGAACCAAAGATGCAAGACTCCAAAGACGGCAAGGAGTTCCATACCTTCCTTTTCTCTGCCTCCTTTTGTACTCAATCACTTTGTTATCATTAAGAAACCCAGTTTAGTTAGTAACTTAGGGATCCCCATGGCCCAAAAATTATTGTTTCTCCATATGTGTCCCATAAATATATTTTAGTCCGGTCATAAAATGTAATCAAGCCTTTTTCTTTTTTTTGAAACTAGTAAAGAAATCGAGCCTTTTTCTTAAAAATCAAAAACCTAAGTTATAAAATCCTAAACCTAAAACACTAAAAACAAGAAAAGGAAAACCAAAATTTCAGATTTTTTGGGTTAAAAACCATCACTGCAATTAAAAGCTATCTCGGTCCAATATCATAAAACTTAGAGGGTGTTTGGATTGGCTTAAAAGTTGGTCAAACCTACTTTTAAGTCAGGTTTTGACTTCTGCAAGTGTTTGGCAAATATAAAAAATAATTTAAAATAAGTCAAAAATGACTTAAAATAAGTTAAAAACCAAAAGTAGGTCTCCCCCTACTTTTTATTTTTTGACTTAAAAATCATTTCAGTTTGAATTTTTAATTTTGACTTAAAAGCTATTTTTTTAAGCCAATCCAAACAGGCTCTTATTCTCTCTAGCACTAGAAGTACTCTCCATTTTCTACTGGTACATAAACCTTTAACAAGACTAAAAGAGTGCTCAGTGCTAATAAACATTAAAAGTAAATGTACCAACATGACTAAAAAAACTAATCCCACCTACACCCTTCTCAATTTATATGACACTGTTTAACTTGGTAAAAAATTTAAGAAAGACAAAAGAAACTTTTGAAAATTATGTTCTAAGATAAGCCTTGTACATTTGTGTAGCGATGAATCATCCCATTAATGGTAAAATGAGAATTCTAAAGTCAAATTATCTCTATATATAGAAAGGACAACCTTTTTTAACAGACCTAAAAGAAGCAAGTGTGTCACATAAATGGGGAAAGAGGAGGTAATTGTTATTGCCTATATAATCTTGGTATTCCATTGTGCCTTACTAGTCTGCAAGGATCCCAGGAGATTGTACATTACTTCCTTCCATAATATTATTTTATTTTTGAGAAAGTTAACAGTTTTATAGACAAGAAATACACCAATAGTGTATATCAGCAGTAATTACAAGAGTAAATGAGGGAAACACCAAAACCTTTTACCACCTACACCCTCATAAACTATAAAATAAAAGTAATTTCCTCCACCTCCTTATGTAGGGTATGTATACACCAAAAATAATTGGTCACCAAACAGTTAATCTTCAAACTCTAAGCTCTGGAAAGGGATGCTCTTGTTTTCAAAACATCCTTGACTCCTTTCCTTCCAAATTGTCCACCCAATGAAGGCAAGGACAATCTTCCATCTCTCCTTGTGTCCCAACACATTCCCATCTTTGTTCCAGCATGCTAACATATCTGAAGTATTTTTTCGCATAGTCCATCTGAAACCCCTAAGGTTTAGGAAAATCTGCTAAAGTTGTGTTGTCACCTTGCAATGTAAGAAGAGATAATTTGTCGTCTCTATTTCATGTTAGTTTCACAAAAAGCACCTAGAACATAACTGCCTCCATTAGGTTTGTCTCATCCCCTCTTAAACACCCTATGATCTTACACCTACAACTGGTGCATTTGCTAGGCATAAATTTGAGGTGCTAGAGCTTTTAGACACTCCTAAAACTTTACTTGTTCCTTTCTTAATGTTCCATGGGATGTCTTCATTCCCAACTTCCCATATATATCCCATGCTCCCTCCTCTTTTAGTTTTTTGCTAACTAGTTACCCTTTTATTCCCATCACTGACTTCTCGGTTATTTGTGACTCATCTCCTTTCACATTCTTCTTCGATTTACATTCAAGACTACCTGTTTATGTTTCATAGTCATAGCTTTCCTTGGTATAATGTTGCAATCCTTACATGTGGTTCATCACATCTTTGGGAAAGGATAAATTTTGTTTGACTATGATTAACCCACTCTTAAATGTTATTAAGTGATATTTTCTATCTTTCAAGTATGAGTAACTATAACTAAATCATAAGCTAAAGCAACATCTTACATTCTATAATATCTTTCCTTCGTCATTCCTAGTACTATATATTTCTCACATGTGCTTGGTCAAATCAATTACCATCTCAACTCACATGACTATTTAGATCTCTCCTTACAAAAAATATGTTGGTTCGTTGCCCCCAAGGCCTAGCTCGAGTGGCAAAAGGTGGAGGATTTGTGGCTTAGGTCGCAGGTTCAAGCCCCACACCACGCAAAGCGAAGCCTGGTATTTAAGTGGAGAAGGGTAGAGGGGCGGGCCCATTATCCACCGGAGTTTAGAAGGTTGTGATTGGTCCAAAGGGCGGGTCACAGACGGATTTCTCGGTTATCAAAAAAAAAATGTTGGTTCCTTGGAATCCTCTGAACCGATGTTCTATATTTTTTTCCGAAATTTAGTTTTACTTTCGTCATCTAATCATACTAGGTGAAATGATGCCCGCATATGTAGATATTTTTTAGGTGGTATTTGTCATTATGTTTGTTTCAATTCAAATGACATAGTTTGACAAGATATGGTGTTGTAGTTTTGACCGGACACATAGTTTTAAAAAAGAAAGACTTATGAAACGTATAAATTTTATATATGTCATAGCATTTGAATGACCATAAGATTCTTAGTACTTGTAATCTTAAATATGCCACAATATTTGTTTGATTATAAAACTTCTTATCCTTATTTTTTATCTAATTTTCTCACTCAATCAAATAAATTGGACAAAAAGCTTATTAAAATGGCCATGACAAGCTGATATTTAAAAAATATAATAAGTCAGTTGCCCAAGTAAAAACAGAGTGAATCTTGCCCAAGTAAAAACAGAGTGAATCATTGGACAACATTTTTGGAAAAGGTTATGTATACGTATTAAGAGAATTACTACATTGTTTATATACATATTACATATATGATTGTGAACTTAGTAATCATTTTAGTTTTTTTCTTAACTTAGACTTGTCTCGTTCTTTTGAAAAAAAGGCATATTTCAATTACTTTTTCAATAATTACGGTAATGCTGCAAAAGATAGATTTATATTATCCAACTTAGGTAGATAATTAACTTTGTTAAACTGGAGTTGTACTCATAAGTGAAGATAATAGTTGACATAAATTATATACTAAAACTATATGATATAATAATTGAATTCTTTAACTGGACATTTAGTGCAATAAAGTTAAAGTTGTTAACCTATTTCAAGTATCATCCTGGTGAGAATACATAAGTTGTAACCAATGGCGGATCCAGAATTTTCAATAAGGGGGTTCGAAAAACAAAAATGTAGTGCATGAAGTTTGAACTTGGAACCTCAAGATGAATTTTAAACCCCTAAACCACTGAGTCAACCTCTAGCCTTGTGTTCAGGTGATTCAAAATCTATATATATCCATAAAAAAATACCTTACATATATAGTGCAATTTTTTGTCGTGGGGGTTCGGGTGAACACCCTGGCAACCCCCTAATCCACCCTTGGTTGTAACATAGTTTTTCATTTTTCAATGGAGAATTTTGTTTTTCCCGTGATGCAGCAAGTAATAAGACTGAGGTATTAGCATAAAAGAACTATATATTATCAGGAAGGAACAT